CCACAGTGCTGAGCACAAACCTCACCTTTCCAGCTGCATCTTCTTCTCGGCTATCAAAGCCTGGAGCTGCTGCTCCTGAGCTTCTCTCTGCTTTGCGATCGACTTCAGCAGGTTCCGTGCCCCGATGGCCTGGCAGGAGAGGGTGGGATGTGCTGAGGGGGTTTTGTTAATTGTTTTAGCCCCTTTCCCTCCCAGCAGGTTGATTCTGAGGTGTTTCAGCTGTGCCAGCAATAAGGGAGGGTGACACTGTGATCCTGGGCGGGTGAGGCCTTTGGGGCCTCCCTCAGACACAGGGAACAAAGTCCCTGACTCCTCTGGACACACAGAGTGGGCACTGGTCCAGACAAGCTCTGGCTACCAGAGGCTTCTCCTGCCTCTTGAGGACTAAGTTCTACCAGTAAAAGGAGTGATTTAAAAATACAGGTTCTGTTTAAGTGCAGAAATATTGACAAGCAGGAAGAGCAGAACTGTGACATGCAGGAGTAATGTGACAATGTCACAGGCTTCTAGACATTAATGTCAACTAAAAAGGCTCAGTTAGTCCCATGGGAATGCCAGCAGGACGCTGACAGGGAAACGCTGCTTCTGCTGTAAAGGGAGGGAGGGACAGAGCTGGTTTTTTACACAGGGCAGGGCAGAGCACACAAGAACCCAGGAACTGACTGCACAGTACCTTCATCTTCTCACTTTCTGCAGCTTTGGCCAGTTGGTCAACGAGCTCGATCAAGCTGCCCACTATTTTCTGAAATTCTGCTGTTTCTGCAAAGAAGAACAGATTGGCAAGTGATACCCAGAACAGCCCTAAAGAGGAGCAACGCTCCTGCTTCGTGGTATAGCTTTTAGATGCAGCTTTATGTTTATAGAGTTTACTGTAAACAGCCACGTTTTAAGATTTTCCTCGGAGTCAGATAAAAGGGGCAAGAGAAGAGGGAAGCCCTGGAGTGCCCGGGGGCGGCCCGTGGGCCGTGCGGGACTCACTGTCCACGAAGGCCCGACACTCCTCGCGGAGCTGCGCCGTCTGCGCCGCCACCTCGGGCTCCAGCACCCGCAGCTTGTTCAGCTCGTCGAAGTGCAGCCCCGCCGAGCCCAGCGCCGCCTGCGCCATCGGGGCCGAGCGGCCCAGGACGGTCCTCCCAACACCTCCCGGCCCCTCCGAGCGGCCCAGGACGGTCCTCCCAACACCTCCCGGCCCCTCCGAGCGGCCCAGGACAGCTCCTCCCAACACCTCCCGGCCCCTCCGAGCGGCCCAGGACGGTCCTCCCAACACCTCCCGGCCCCTCCGAGCGGCCCAGGACAGCTCCTCCCAACACCTCCCGGCCCCTCCGAGCGGCCCAGGACGGTCCTCCCAACACCTCCCGGCCCCTCCGAGCGGCCCAGGACAGCTCCTCCGGGCAGATCCGCCAACACCCCCGGCCCGGCCCGGCCCGGCCCCGCCTCCGCCGCGCGGGGCCCGCCGGGAGCCGCGGAAGCTCTTCCGGGCCGGCGCTTCCCGGGGCGGGACGAGGCTCGGCCGGGCCGGGGCTGAGGGGCGGCCGCGGGGTGAGCGCGGGTGCGGGTGCGGGTGCGGGTGCGGGTGCGGGTGCGGGTGCGGGTGCGGGTGCGGGTGCGGGTGCGGGTGCGGGTGCGGGTGCGGGTGCTGGGCCGGGCCGGGCTCCCGCTGCCGGGCCCTGCCGTGTTCGCCTGCCCGGCCGGGCGGGTGAGCGGCCCCGGTGCGAGCGGCCCCGCTGTGCCCAGCCGGGTTCGGGTTGTTCCTCTCCCGGCGGTGCCGAGCGGGGGCTGTTCCCTGTTCCCTGTTCCCGGCGCGGGGCAGGAGGGCAGGGCAGGAAGGGGGGCCGTGGGGAGTTTTCCGTCGTGTCAGAGCGGGTAATTAAAGGTCTCGCGGCTGTTCGCAGCCAAGGCCCCACAGCTCCTTAACAGACATCACTTGTAGCGTTTGCTTAGTTGTAATAAGGGAGTTATTAATTAGGAACTGCGGAATAACGTTGTGTTTTAGGTCTAAGTTCAGCAGTTCTTCCAGTCTCGGGCAGTTTTAAGACACCACTGTAGCTGCCAGGTAATTCACTGTACTGATGGGTGGTTGTGGGGCTTTACTCTGTTGAAAGCTGAGGTGGAAGTTAACAGGTGGCATATTTGTTTATAAAGGTCACTTATGTGCCGTAAGCACAGAACAGAGAAAGGAAGGAATTTGTAGTCTAAAAGAGTTTAGGAAAAACCAACAAAGAAAAAACAACAGAAAAAAACCCCAAAGAAAAGCACCAGCAAAAACCTTTTGAGACAATAAGTACTAGAAGAAAGATAGGTAAGAAACTTGTATTTGCACTTTTCTGGTTAGAGAACTTCAGGTGTGGCCTGGCAGAGTTTCGTTCTTTTATTTGTTTCCATTTTGAGCTTATTGTGGATGAGAAGGTAAATGTGAGACTGGGGAGAGCAAGAGGTGGCTGGCTGTTTATTTGAGGCAGGTACTCCAGAGAGTGGATGTACTTGATGGGGAGTGGTGTTAATTTTTTTCTTTTTTTTTTTTTTAATTAAAACTACATTTACTGTTCAGGGTTTCAGGATGGAGGAAGGAGAGTTTTGAATGAAAGAAGTTACTGGGAAGTGGAATGTTAATGATCCAGCCTTTCAGTGTTGAGGCATTTGAAGAGACATTTGTGTCTCCAGTTAAAAGTCAAACCAACATCAGCAAACCCTGCTCAGGGAGATGCACACACAGCCGAGCTGAAGGAGGGGCAGGAAGCTCTTCCAGCGTTTCAGCTCTGCCCAGAGAGTTGTGTTCTTTTGGGAAGCTGGGGGGAGCTGGATTCCAGCAGGGTTTAGGCCTGGCCTCCAGTGGTGTGTGGTGTTTGCAGTGTTGGTGAAGAGGAAGTTGCAGGAAATCGGGGGAGTTTCACGTGGCTCGGAAATGTGGCACAGCCATGACTTGGCTGGTTATGTCACTGTAGGAATTGTCTGGAAACTGGCTCGATATTGTTTTGTCACAGCGTGTGTGGCCCTGTCCTTGGCAGTCTCTGGCTGTGCCCGTGGGTCGCGTGCCCACCCTGCTGACCGCCCGCTCTGCCCGCAGGTGATGAGTGCTCTGTGCCCACCCTGTGGTGGTGATGAGCGCTCTGTGCCCACCCTGTGGTAGTGCTGACCGCCCGCTCTGCCCGCAGGTGATGAGCGCTCTGTGCCCACCCTGTGGCAGTGCTGACCGCCCGCTCTGCCCGCAGGTGATGAGCGCTCTGTGCCCACCCTGTGGCAGTGCTGACCGCCCGCTCTGCCCGCAG